CCTGGATCTCTGCAGTTTATAAGTTTGATATCCCGGTAATTGGTAGAACTGGATATTTTCAGTGGATGAGCCGGCTTCTACGATCCCATATAAATCAGCATCCTCCTTTGTAATAATCGTCTTCCATTCTGTGAATTTGTCAGCAGTTAGGCCACCAGCGTTCCTGAACATAGCCTTAAGCTGTGTGTTGACTGGACCTTTTGGTTTCCTTAATTTTGATGGATTCATATTTTTGTGGATTCTATGATGTTGAACTGTCTTCGCGGCGACAATATTGCTCATTTAGTTATAACCGGAGGGCACGTGTACAATGTACGGACGCGAGCAAAGTTACCCAATTTTTATTAAAGCTTTTTAGTTTAAAGTTTTTCAGTACAAATATATATATAAATTGTGAATATTTTTTATTAATACAAATATATGGTAACAAGATACACTGATCCAAGCTTAAAAAGAACTCTAATTGAAACGACTAGTTTTATCATGGCGGATTTATATGTAGCATTTATGGCTGATATTAGCCTGAGCAAGAAATTGGATGAAGAAATTGAGAGGTCTTTCCCTCCTCCCCTCGGGGGGACACTTTTCTTTTACCAGTCAGAATTAAACAGTATGCTTATATACTTAGTTGATTGTTTTTCCATACAAGGTCTGGATGCTCATCTATCCGCCTGTATTCTTACATACCAAGTCTAAAGGCTCATCCATTCGTTTATATTTCTTCCTCCCACAAAGTCTGGACACTCCTCTCTCCCCTTGTGGTTACCGTCCTGCAATGTCTTAAGACTCATCGCTTAGCTCACGGACAGAGTGACTCGGTTGATCATCCCTCTTTAGGTCTTCCTTTGTCAGCCACTTTCTCATCTATTGAATCATTTTTTTTTTTTTTTTTTTTTTTTTTTGTCATTTGAACACACTCTGTTGAGGCCTTCTGTATTCTGTCTTTACCTATCTCGACAAGATGGAATTAAAAGTATTTTTTAGTCCAATCTTCATATCTCAATGCAGAATTTTGTTTTAAAAAACCGCCATTTTTCTAAATTCAATGAATAGGTATTTAACTGGAAACGGTATCCTATGTAACTATAACACAGCTTGATGCTTAGCATTATGTAAACTTTTAAGCAATATATGTTTATAATTACGAAATATATACTTGTATACTTAGAATATTAGCAAATAATATAGGATTGTTTTTGTTTTTTTATAAACCTATCTAACCTGAATTAGATATAGAGTATAATCAAAAGACTTTATAATTTAAATTTATTCATGTTAAACTCAAATTGATTCATGTTACCAAGAAATAATGTTTTTAAAATATTAAACGCATTTCTTTATTTTAGATAAAAATTTAATCTAAATAAAGGTAAAAACAACAAATTATTAATAATATTAATAATAAAAAAAATTGAATATTTTTCTATTGAAACATCTATTTATAAGTAATTTTCTAAAAAATGTTTCTGTAAATTATTTCTATAATGCTCTGAACACTTGAATATCTTTTTTATATGAAATTTATGAAAAAAAAAAGTGTTCCAAAGAGTAGCGCACTATGTCCGTACATATTAATTTTCCTGAACTAACATTGAAAATAGTTATAAGTTCGACCTCCATTTCACGACCAAAATATATTATAAGAAACAAAAATACGCGTGTCCTTTATTCATTTATTTATTATTATTTTATTTTTTTACATAATGTGTTAAAAATATGGTTAGATAAAATCGCCATATGAAGTGTTTATATTTTTTTTTAAATCTATAGCATAAAAAGCTGTTATAATTATGTCAATGATCAATTCTTATACAAATAATTTATGATTATTCTAAACTTCTAATCCAAAATTTAAAGAGAGAATTAAAATAATATTAATCAGAAACACAAAAATGGCAATCCATGAAGTAAATTTATCGCCCTTTGTTTCCCTCCTTTCTATGAAACAGAACCGAGGTATTTGGGATGGCTCATATATATTTGTTTGAAAACGTTATCATTCAAGATAAGATACAGGAGGTGACTAATGAGCACCATAAGTTTCAAAAATCAATTCATTAATAACTTTGATCGAAATCCGCTATGTCAGTGACATCATTTTATTTAATTTATTGAAATATATCGTGAGAAGTTATGAATATATTTTAAAAATATATAATCAATATTCACGGTAAAATTAAAATGTCCGCAAGTAAAACTACAACAAAAGTCTATCGCATTGATTTTTTTAGAGTATAATTATTTATTTCTTATGCGATCGAAAAGAAAAAATAGGATCAAATATTAAAATTAATATAAACAGTACTCGTTGATGTAAGAAATTCCTGATATATATCTAAATATACCTTGTAAACTTGGCATATTCTCTTTATTAGTTCAATGTACACTACCAACCTAACCACTAACGGATCCAGGATTTAATTTTTTTTTGGGGGGGAGGCTTCAGCCCGAACGATTTATATATATATATATATATATATATATATATATTACGATAATTATTTCGGAAGAAAGAAAGAAACTAACTACCTATATGAAATGGTGTTTAAGTGATGTTGAAGTCCTATTAAATGTAATTAGACGAACAACAATACTTTTGGAGGTAATTTTTTTCATAAAACATAGTTATATTTTACCATTTTGGGGGCTTCAGCCCGAAAGTCCCCTCCCCTCTCCCGTAGATCCGCCTGTGAAACTAGCCATCATACGCAGTTTTCCGTCACATTAATCGACCTTACCATCGTTGGTTCCCGTCAACATTTACAGCACTTTTCTCAAATGTCTACAATCTATACCCATCTCTTTCTTGCCATGATTTGATTATAATCTACTATCTCATTCCCGATCCCATCTTCATTTCTAACCAAGTCTAGAGAAAAGAAATCTAGACTCTTTAATCCCAGAAAACACTAATCCTAAACTAAATTCGTTATCTATCCACCTATTAAATACAAGGATCCCTTCCTACCGATGTGTGTGTTTTTTCTCATATGGACTGCAGCCATTGAAAAATCCTTTACCATACGTGATAACGCGTTATGGAATTCCTTGTCTGTCTCTAATATTAAAGCTTGCTAACCTCATTCAAACACCGTTTATTTACCTAATTACTTCTTCCTCGTAAATATAAAGAACAAATACCACTTTAAGTTTACACAAATATCTATAAGGGGTGCTTATTGTTAACTTGTTCATGTAACTATTTATCTTTTAGTTTGTGGTTTGTTTGAGTTCCTGCAATGCTCTTAGACAACTGCTGCTTAAATTTTACATCTTTGTCATCCTTCGGGGACTAAATATCTCAGAAAAGAGATCAAATCTTCATTTGATTTTTTCACAATAACCCTAAAACTATCCTTTCGTGTCCAGTCTAATTTACATAAAATAGACACATGTCTCAACATCACTCATTTTTGTTTATTTTGTGTGTACTTCCTTTATTGCAATGCTAAAGTTGGTGTTTTTTTTTATTTTACCGGACACTTTTCAGGAAATAACTTTTCTCTTAATCTTATACTCAAGTTTTTCAATCTTCATTTACTTGCCCCAAGACGGTTTACACTTATATTTTTTCAATAACTCAACCTTTGGGCTTAGTAGTAACACGATTTTTACATAGTTACTTACTTTTTATTTATTCTAAAAGTAAATTCAAATGTTACTGGACCTTGATTCGAGAAATACAGTTCATAACTAATAAGGAACCTAAATTTTAGGTTACATACTCCTACTTTCGGGTTCCTAGTAATTTGAATTAAAAATTAAATGCACCTCGTTTGATTTTTCAAACGTGAGAATTTTGAAAAATAACGGATATCAATTATCAGATAATCGACGGGATTAATAACCCTCTTGTGGAATCAGTTTTTTTTTTTATTTAGAATCTCTTATTGAAATATATCCTTTACAAAAAAAAAATATTGTTAAATTTTATAAGATACTACAAATGAACAAATTATTTGTATGCAAGGAAACAATTCGCGTCGTTTTATTTTTGTTTAAAATTAATAAATACAAGTATTATAGTTTAAAGATTATGTTGGTACTTGTATAATTTTACTATCTTAGCTACATTAACGTGGGTCACATTTAAAGACCATTTTCAATACTTCAAACAACTTTGCCGAGTCTCATATCATTTTGAAGTTTGGTCAGAATTTCTAATGCAGTTTAAAATGTTTACTGAATTGTTTGTAAATGGTGACACTACTCTGGAGCTTCTAGGTTTCACCATCTTTCGGAAACTATAAACTAGATTTTAAAAATTTCAATTTGTCCATTTGAGAAACTATTATTTTTAGTTGGTATACATATTATTTTTTTTTTTAAATGAAAGAAAGGAAAAAGAAAGCGTTATAAGTTTAATCTAATTAAAATATAATATTCCATTTAATTTAATCCTTTGTTTTTACCTAATGACAATGATAAGTTTTTTCGTTATTATCAGATTTATGAAAACTGTTTATTTATTGAATAGCTTTATTCAAGTGCTTACTTCCTCTCTATTCCTATTATATTTTGACTTATCTCCAAATATTTATGGTACTCGCCATATTAAAAATAATTCTTAGTTGAATAAATCAGATTAGATATTTTCGATTTAAACTATTCAGAAAACAAGATTATTTTTAAGTTATAGTGCTTATTTCATTTAGATTGTAATACATAACAATAAAACAGTTAAAAACATAGGATTATATATATATATATATATATATATATATATATATATATATATATATATATTTTTTTTTTTTTTTTTTTTTTTAATTTTATTGTTACGTTATGTATTTATTCATGAGTTTTAGGCTTCGTGGTCAATGTATTAACTGCAGTAGACCCTGATCTTTCATATTTTGTTTACATAATAAAGAATTTAAAAGTAATTTCTCTTTCTCCATTCAACGGAATTGTTGCTGAGACGGGAAGTTCTTATAATTTCGGAAATTTTAATTTAAAAAAGAACTGTTTGAAATATGAAATTTATAAGAATAACTTACCGACATTTGGCAGAAAGTTACTACCGATGACTCGCCTACTGGTAAAGTAGTTCTTGCCGTATGGGCGGACCAAGTTCTCACTGACTTTGCTGACATCTTTGCTGGCCACAAAGGCGACTAAGAGCAGCAACAACAACGACGACGCCACCTCCATCATGTCGACTGCTTCTCACCGATCACCTCGCCCCGTTATCACTTTCATGCCACACCTAGCCTGTGTAAATATGATAACTAAACTTCGCCCAGATAAAAACATTTCATCATGCTAAATGAATCATAATAATTTGTAGTAAATCATTACTATGAAACGGAACTGACGCATTGAAATATTACAAAGTATTAGTTCTACGATTTTCTCCAAAAATACTGATTACAACAAAAAGTCTTTGCCGATACTACTTCTCAAAATATTATACATAACTCTCATATATATTCCATGCAACTCGAGATAAAAAAATATTTTATGTAATTAAAAACAAAATTTATTTTTGCCTTTGCTTTGCCGGGATTTTTGGGTCATTATATATTACTAATATTATATTAAACGAGTAAATGTAGGCATTTTACCTTGCAAATGGTCGTGTATTTCAAATTTCTTTTTTATTTTGTTAGGTATGTAGTCCTTGAAAGAAATTGTTAGGTATGTAGCCCTTGAAAGCCTAGTAGGTTCGCTGCAGTGCTCTAAAAACCATTGAAATTTCGAACTTCCATTTTGAACCTCGTCCAGAGAATTCTGAGGTTTCCCTTGAAGATAATGAGCCATTGACTGGAACGGTAGACGGTAGTCCAAAGGTGCTTTGTTAAGAATTTTACACGATGGGCCAAACCCCCCTACCTTTCACCCTCCCCCTACATATGAATAATTTCTTGTAACTATTTATTTTTAAAAAAAAAAAGCCAAAGTTGTCGCACTATCCCAAGATTGGCTTAATTTCCTCATAATTAGCGTTTATTAAAGCTAGATAGTTAGATAAAAATAAAAAATGAAAAGATGCTAAATAATAATTGACTTTGGCAATAAAAACTACCAGTAAATTCAATTTTTTTTAAGTCGTCCAAACTAAAGATGAAAATTAAGCGTCGTTTGTAAATAAATGGCCAACAATAACGAAAAACGCTCCGAAATAAAACATGTGGAGAAAATAATTGTACAATATTTGAAACAGTTGGAAAATAAACATAATCGGCGGGTAAGCGGCACTGGCATACGCGCCTAGTATCCTCTACCATACCATTCTTCTTCTTCTGTGTCTTCCTCACAATGTCATTTGTAGCATCGAGGAGCCTCTATCCAGCGCAGCCACTCTTACCGGTCTCTGCTTAACCGCTTCATTTGGTTAAAGCATTTGCTTCTTCTATATCCGACCCTAATATGAAACTCTGGGACGCCCTCGTGGTCTCTTCCCTATCGGTCGAGCCTCTAATACCTTTATAGGCTCCATGTCCTCGTACATGTGGCAGACATGTCCAAACCACTTTAGTTGCCTGTCCAAAGTGGTTTTGAGTTCAGGCACTTCTAGCTGTTCTCTTATAGTTTCGTTTCTAATGCGATCCCTCCTAGTTTTTCCCACCGTACGTAGGAACCGCGTTTCCGCTGTCGCTATGTTTTTCCAACGTAGTCCAGCTTTCTCCCTCGTAGGTGAAAATAGGCAAGTACACTGGCTTATAGACGTGCATCTTGATCTTTTTATTCACTTCACGGCAGCTGAGAATACTGCTAGCGATCTGGTAGTATGCTTGGTTTGCCTTGGGTATTCTATATGAAATCTCAGCATCTATCATACCAGAGTTAGTAATTTACTACAGCTTTTATACCAAACATATTTTTTTTAACTTAACACCATAAATACAAATCGCTAAAAAAAAATTAATGTTTTGAAATTCGAAAAAATACTTATAATTTTATTTTTACTGTAGTATAAGCCATATCTTCATAACCATATTAATTCAGTACTCATAAATGACAAAATGCTATAGTACTATAATAACGTTTTTAGTACATTATTTTGATTGTATTAACGAGCGAATATTAATAAAATAATTTAATTGTTCAAAACAATATTTTTTTTTTCTTCCTTTAATTATGCCTTTAAGTACTGAATGATGTGGCATAAATGTGGTATTAAAAGTTACAAGAAAAACAGTAATTTTTTATGGTCAATTTCATTAAAATAAGTGGAAACACTAAAAATAAAATTATAAGGATTTTTTTTTTGGAATTTCAAAACATTAATTTCTTTTTAGCGATTTGTATTTAAGTTGTTAAGTTTAAAAAAAAAATATGTTTCGTATAAAAGCTGTAGTAAATTGTGTGTGCTTTAATATTTAATTAAAAAAATTGAGCTAAGTCACCTATGAAAACAGATAATCAGTTAAAACCAAAATATTATACATGTTTTTTAGAAATTTCAAAACTTTACCCATTTTGTAACGTTAAAGTCAAAACATTACTAGTCACAGAATTATTTATCATTCTCATATTTTTAAATATCAAGTTATAAATTTAATATGAACAATATAGTAAAATAAAGAAGTAAATATTTCGATGGTCCGGGGCGGCGTTCATAAAAAAACTAATATAGTGAAGAAAAAAAACAATTTTATTTCAAGCCAGCGTTTGGACCCGACTTGGTAGGTCTTCCTCAGGGAGGTGTATGCAGCATGAAGTTTCAGTTTGAAACTCATAGTCTGTGGGCCAGACCCCCTTACCGTGCACCCCCCCCCACATTCCTATAAATAGCATATCGTTGTGTTCCTTGTAACAATTTATTAAAAAAAAGCCAATGTTCCCACAAAAAAAAGTGAACGCACTGCCCCAAAATGGCGTCCAAAGATGGCGGATTGACGACTTTGACTTTAGTTAGTTTTTTGGTCACTGAGAATCAGCATTAAGCTTAATTTCCTCATAGCTGGTCTTTTATTAAAGCTGAATAGTTATAGAATAATATAACATGAAGAAATATTAAAAAATAATTGGCTAAGGCTATGAAAAACACCAGTAAAGTCAATTTGTTTAACAAAAAAATTTTCAAGTTACAAATCAAACGTTGTTTGTAATTAAACGGCCTACAATAACGCAAAACGTGCTGAAATAAACCATCTGGAGAATATATTTCTCTTTCTGAAACGCTGATTATTTTTTACAAATGTTTGAGTAGTTCTGTAAAAAATGCACTTATGCGGCAGAAAAGCGGTAATGGCGTGGGTGCCTACAGGCCTCTACCACACCATTCAGTGCCCATAAATGGCTTAGTTATAGTGATATAATAACATTTTTGGTACATTATATTGGTTTTATTAACGAACAAATATTAATGCAATAATTTAATAGTAAAAAAAAAAATTTAATTTAAAAAAAAATTTATTATTATTTTTTTTAAATTTTAACCTCCTTTATTCTATACGTAGGTCGTTTAAGAATACCTCATTTGTAAAAATGGTATAATTATGATAATAAAACTTAATTAAAAAATATTTTGCTAAATATCTTGATTTTTTTTTATTTAACGTTTGCAATTTAACACTGTGTTTTGAATATTTACTGATTCTTAGAAGTAATTAAAATGTTTATATACTTCCCAGGAAATGAGTCATATTCATACCTTATTTATAAACTAAAATAATATATACCTAATCTGAACTATATATAATGAATAGCTACCGGGTTGTTTAGTAAAACTCATATATCACTAATTAAAAAATTAATTTTTATTTCCTTTATTTTGTGCAGAAGTTGGACTATATCATAAATAAATAGGAAATTTAAATATTGAATGAATTATTTTCTATGCACAAAGAAATATATAAAGGTGACCCTATAAGTTCTTCTATAAACCAAAACTGATTGTTTGGATTTGATCTCAAAATGTGGAAAAACGTGAACTTAAACGAGAAAATTGGAAAAATACATTAAACGAACGAGAAAGGAAGTACCAAAACCTCGGAATAGATAAAAAGGACCTGTATCCATTATATAGCTAAATGAATGTATAGTAGATAGATGAACAGAATATTTCAAGATGCTGCTAAAACGGGATCAATTGCAGTTTGGATGATATTAAGTGGACGATGTAGGTTTATTATGGTGAAAACCACTTTATTTTCGATTGCTGAAGGTGCACATCGGGACTATATTAACTTTGAAGCAGGATATAGAGAGGTATATCGAGAAAGTTATAGCTCATAGCTTTCCTTCTGTTTAGGGGATTTTCAAAAGATTTTTTAAGGGATCTAAAAGGAAAACGAGTTTTTCTGAAAGACAGTTAGATATTAGCATAATCCAAAGTGTGAGGCACTGAGCAGATAGAGAGCTATTTTTCTTTTTATGTGGACTTCTCTATAACCTGCCTTAAAGTGAAGACAGTCCCAATTTTCAACTTCTCTTCCAATGTGCAACTTGAGTTTCTCAATCCATATCACTCTGGCAATCGACAATATTTCTTATTCCAGCTTCTGCGATTCTTGTGTATAATTTGTTTGGTACACTAAACAGGAATGGGTCTTGATGGGTATTACATTTCCTAGTACCTCCTTTCTTGTAAAGGTAAAAACCACAGTCCTTTCATATTATTTTCTAATATGCTTGTTGCCTATGTACGCGCAAAACTGTCAAAGCAGTTCGGTTTCGCCCTTTCCATCTTTCTTTGTGCAGAGAGAATAATACATTCAATATTAAAATTTCCTATTTTTTTATGATATGGTACAAATTCCGAACAATTCAAGAATAACGAGAAGAATAACGAGCTACAACTAATATAAGATACCTTAAAAAATCTTTTGAAAATCCACTAAACAGAAGGAAAGCTATGAGTTATAACTTTCTCGATGTACATCTCTATATTCATCTTCAAAGTTAATATAGTCCCGATGTGCACCTTCAGCAATCTAAAATAAAGTGGTTTTCACCATAATAACCCTACATCGTCAACTTAATATCATCCATACTGCAATTGATCCCGTTTTAGCAGCATCTTGAAATATTCTGTTCATCTATCTACTATTTTTTTTACTATTTTTTTAGCTATATAATGGATATAACTGGTCCTTTTTATCTATTCCGAGGTTTTGGCACTTCCTTTCTCGTTCGCTTAATGTATTTTTCCAATTTTCTCGTTTAAGTTCACGTTTTTCCTCATTTTGAGATCAAATCCAAACAATCAGTTTTGGTTTATAGAAGAACTTATAGAGTCACCCTTT